GAGAGTATGATTAAAAAAAAAAAACTGTTTAAGTGTTTATACTGTTTAACAATAAATACAATAGGTTCTATACCTATCAAGTCAACCCCTGAATATTGATTTGATTTCAAATTATTTTAACTAACCAGATAATATTAATTTATATTTATTTAGAATGGACAAACCTTATATTACTGTGATTGTCTAGTTAGGCAGTATGTTTAATCTGCTCTATATATTAAAATGGTCATGAACTGAGAAATCAAAATTTTCTTTTGATAAATAAGAGGTCATTTTGCTATAGAAACATCCTGTAAGTTTCAGAACTCAAAGCTTTCTTGTTAGTCTAGAAACAGCTTATATTGAAGGCAGTCTGCCAAAACCACAGGACAATATTGTTGTGGAATGTACAAATCTATGATGTAATAGAGTGACTAAGCACCGCCTCCGCAGAAGAAGATCAACGCCTGCTTCTACATTGCTGCCTGTTTAGCCCCGCCCACCGATTCGCACATGTAGTAGGTAAATGACAAGAGCGGCAAACACAGGTCTATGCATAAACCAAAGGATAAACATTATTTGATGAACTTTATTTTTAATGAAGTGCCAGACGGCATCAGTAAGAACTTGGTCCTTTGTTCACTTCATTTTACTGCGGATTCGTTTTCTAAAAAGACACAATTCGACACAGGATTTTCAGAAAGATTGAAACTAAAAGACGATGCTGTGCCGACTATATTGGATTCGATATCGCAGCACACAAGTGTATTTGTGTAAACTGTATTTATTACGTGATCACTATTGCTTTGTCTGATAAACAGATCATTTGATAAGAGTATTTATGTGTTTTTGACCTAAATCACAGCAGCATCCATCTGTGAAGGAATGTACACTGTCAAACATACATAAACGTGTTGCTGCCGTGTGTTTTGCGTTGAAGCTCCGTCATGTTAATTCTTTATCGTCTATTTTTAAATCAATTTTATACACCATTTTCATTTCTATGTGTGAATATATCCCCTATTGTATTCTACAACAAAAACAAACCCGTGGTTTCAACCAGCGCTGAAGGGGGCGCATACGAAGCAGACCCAACTGTAGCCCACCGCCATGAGGCCCAGCATCCGTTGGAACGCTTTGAGAAGGCGAGTGGTACCAATCTCGAAGGAGGTCGCCAGCCTCCGTATGGCCAGAGCCCGTTCCGGCGTGACTACAGCTCTTTTTTGGGCTGAGTCGAAAATTGTTCCCAGGAACGATATTCACTGGCTGGGGAACAATGGGCTCTTGGCAAAATTGACCCTGAGTCCCAGGCACTCCAGGTGGCTGAGGAGGAGTGTCCTGTGTGATATTAATTCTGCCTCTGACTGGGCCAGAACGAACCAGTCTTCGAGGTAATTGAGAATGCGGATTCCCATCTGTCTCAGAGGGGAGCATGAGGGCATGATTCAGGTGTCTGAGATCGAGGATGGGCCGGGGGAACAGTTTCTATGGCTCCTATCGCCAGCAAATTCATCACCTCTGAGCGCAGGACGTGTGCATCTTTGCTCTAAGCTGAGGTGGGAACCACGCAGCTGAATCGCGGGGTATTCGAGTGAATTGCAGTGAATAACCTCGTTTTATTATCTCTAACACCCATATTGGCACTGCAGGGATGGCCCGACAGGCCTCAGCCCGTGTGACAAGGGGTTGGATCGTTGTAAGAGCGGTCTGTCTCAGCAGCGCATCCTCAGCATGGGCGTGGCCCAGGCGAGAGGCGCGTTTAAATACAAAGCTGTCAGCGATATTGAATCATTGGTGACAGCGTTCTGCTCCAGACCGCCCAGGAGGATTGAGCAGCTCGACAATGAGGGGCACCGATCCCCACGTGTAAACACACTGGCAGATCAAAGAGCTGCGTGGAGAGTGATGCATGCGGGGGCTTTGCCAGCATTAAATCACTCAAGCCTGATCGTTCATACCCGCGAGTTCGTCATTTCTACCTCCGAGTAACTGGGAGGAGAGAAACACAAGAGCGGGGGAGGCGGGGCTCAGCAACGCACACATAAATGCGAAGCTGCCCACGTTTTGCTTTGATCTGCCTGGGAGGATTAAGCTGCCCTTCTGCGGCAGATCCGAGTGCAACGGGGGGAGAGAGCACGCAGGCACAGTGCCGGCATGAGATCAGTCAACCCGTTAGCCAAAACGGCAGTGCTTTATAACTATAGGACAAGAAGAGCTAAATAAACTTATCCCTGCATCTAAGCCAACAACATGTTTATTAGATCCTGTACCCACTAAATTACTGAAAGAGTAAATTATATCTATGAAGAATTTCAGTCCGGTTTCAGGCCCCATCATAGTACAGAAACTGCACTTGTTAAAATTAAAAATGGCTTCTTGCATCAGACCAAGGCAAGAAGCAGAACTTTTTGTCATCAAGCTGGTTCAAAAGGAAGCCTTCTTAGATGAGATAAAGAGTTTGAAGCTAAAGAAAGTAGTTGCCAACACCAAAAAGAGCAGGCTATACAAGTTAAATCCATTCTTAGACAAAGAAGGTATCCTGAGGGTTGGAGGACGCCTAAGTCAAGCTATGTTGCACCCATACGTCAAGCATCCAGTAATACTTCCCAAGAATAGCCACATGTCAGCTTTACTTATTAAGCACTTTCACGAAAAGGTACATCATCAAGGACGTGGAATGACAATGAACGAACTGCGAGCTAATGGATGGTGGATCCTGGGATGTAGCGGTGTGGTCTCATCACACATCTTTAAATGTGTTAAGTGCAGAAAGTATAGAAGGCCTGCAGAAGAACAAAGAATGGGTGACTTACCGCAAGATAGAATGGAAACAACTCCACCATTCACTTACGCTGGTATTGACTGCTTTGGTCCAATATATATCAAAGAAGGAAGAAAGGAGCTCAAGAGATATGGTCTTTTACTTACCTGTCTATGTTCAAGGGCCATACACATAAAGATGATTGATGACATGACCACTGATTCATTTATTAATGCTTTAAGAGCGTTCATTGGAATAAGAGGAAATGTTCGTCAGTTGAGATGTGACCAAGGAAGCAATTTTGTTGGAGCAAGAAGAGAGTTTGCAGAACTCATGAAAGGAATGGATCAAGAAAGAGTTAAGGCTCTAGGATGTGCAAGCATTCACATAATGTATCTCGTAACTTTGTACTTCAGCTGTATCTGATCAACTGCACGGGATTGCATCCCGAGGCATCTAGGAATTACACAAGCTTCAGACTGGATCCAACCCTTACGAAGATCTGAGATGACCGAACACCTGAGAAGAGATGATGCCAACCCCCCAGAAGACCTCAGATGATGCTAACCCTGGAACAACATATAAAACTACCAAATTTTGCTTAATTGCAACGTTTAATCGCAATCACAAAGTTTAATCGCAACATATAATCATTGCAGTTAATAGTGTTCACCGTCTATTTGATTATGTGTAATTTGTAACTAACTGCATGATTCTTATTGTACATTTCTGCCACAGTCACCACTAATAACCTACTCCTAAATGTAATGTAGAAACATTAATATTTTCTGTAAAGCTGCTTTGCAACGATTGGTATCGTGAAAAGTGCAATACAAATAAACTTGAATTGAATTGAACAACTATTAGCCAATCATAGCAGTGGGCATTTACTTCCGAGTCTATAATCCTCCATGCCTATTCAAGCAGAGCGTTCTGATGAGGGGGGTTAAAACAGGACAGAAAATATTACCTCTAAATGATGTTTTTTGATGTAAAAATCTTACATTATAAGTGGACCTCAGAGAACATTACGAAATAAAAAACAAAGGCAGTTCATGACCCCTTTAAACCATTCCTTTTTTATTTAAAAAATAAATAAATAAAATAACAACACATAGATCTATCAATTTACCACTTCTATAATTCAAAGTGACATCAAAAACCACAAATCAATTTACTCTTAGGCTATAAATGTCACAATCATCTGCTGGGTCATTATTTAGCAGAATGAAATAACTCCACATGATGTGTCTCTGTCCCTGTCATTCACTATGATAAGCAGTTTAAATGAATACATTGACTGAGTGCTGTCTGTCACCACTTTAAAAAATATTTACATGATTTATTATCATAACTTTTCACAAATATTTTGTCAAATCAGCTTAGATTCACAAATGTTTTTCAGATAACATATTTAGAGTTTCTAAATCAATCAGTTATCAAATAAATTCTTTAGTTTAAATCAACATTTTAAGGCAACCAGGTTAGGCTACTTAATTTAAACCAACAAATTATTTTTTACAGTGTGATTGTGTCTTTAATAATTTCTGTGCATGATGTTCATCTAATGCCACATCCACAATGTTAAATTTTAAAACTAAATTTTTAAAAGAAGTTTGTTTTCACGTTCCATTTTCACTAGAGGAAACAATGTAGGTGTGATAAAGGGTGAATGCAGTGAAAGCTTTACAGTGGATGAAAAAAATGTTTTGTATTGCTCCTGCATCACATTATGTAAACTGCATTTATGACAAAGGATTGCACAGATGCAGATATCATAACAATTGATCAATAAATGCACACACCTTGTCCTCTGCTTCTGACACTATCACTGTGCCAAGAACATGCTGAATAACGCTGACTAAAAGAGGGGGAGAATCCGCAGCTAAAGCCCCACTAAAAAGGGCCTAACAACACCCCTGGTAATTAGCCCATAGCATATCATTCACTGACCTCATATATGGCTTATCATTTGAAACTGAAACATAAGTAGTGGCAACTTTACACGGCTGCTCACTCTTACGTTAACCTAGATAAATGCATTATTAGGCACATATCCTAGAGTTTGTGCGAAGTGTGGAAGCTGTTAACATGCTACTGCATGACATGGAAGCACCGACACGATCACTTGCATTTTGGAAACAAGTGGAAACAACCTAAAATATGCCGTAATTTTTGCTCATGCAGATACGAGTAATGCATCATTTGAAACTGTAAAGGGTCAACTTTTATTTGTGTACACTGACAATAACAACAAAACATGTAAAATAAAGAAAACAAACAGGATGCGCTTTTTGCTGTCTCGGTCTCTGTGAACTGAAGCACATCACAAAAATGAAACTAAACTCACCGTATAGGCTATACTTATGGAATCCTGTTTCCACCAATGAATAAAAAATGTGACTTTTTATCTCACGATTCTGACGTTTTCTCGCAATGGCGAGTTTACGCCTCGCAATTCTGAGTTGCATGAGTGCAAGTTCTAGGGCCATATTTACTAAACAGGGCAAATTAGAGTTAGAGCGCAATTCCACAAAAGCGCCGATGGGAGGGGAAAATTCTGCGTGTGATTTACTGACAATGCGGCTGGCACCTGTGGGCTCGGGGCCCACCATGGCTGCAGGCTTCTTCTTGAACAAATTCCACTTCATGCTTGACGGCTACACCAACAGAAACCCTGACAGGCAAAAAGAGAGTAAAGATGGCATGAGTGTGATGAGACGCTCCTGAGTCTCTGAATCTCATTTTCTTTGATGGGAACTGAATGAAATGACTTACTTGCTCCATCAAACATGCAAATGTTGCCGACATAGACAGGTACAGTGGGTACGTGATTGTCAATATAATGTGACATACTGTCTGATCTCTTGATTATTAAAATGTGGCCTATAATGTGAAAGGTGATGTGCTACTTGTCGGTAAGTGGGATTTCATCAGTAATAGGGTATGGCAGGATTGAATAAATGAAGATAAAAATAATTGAAAATAATTGAAACAGTAAGTATTAACTTACTAACAAATAAACAATTTTTTAATTTGCAAATCTAAATGAAAACATATGACGTTCTCAGATTTTTCCACTCACAAGCAGAAGTTAATTTGTTTCTCCAAAAATTCTCAGTATCATTACAAAAATCTGCTTAACAATTTTACAATTTTAATAAAAAAAAACAACTCTTTTGTGCAAACAGTTGCAAAATAAAAAATCTAAATGTGCTAAATTATTTACATGACATACAGTATACACAAACACACACACACATGTATACACACACACACACACGTATAGACACACACACACACACACACACACACACACACACACACACACACTATATATCTATATATTTATATATCTATATATTTATTTATTTATTTATAAGATTTTTTTTTGCCATTTATTGCCAAATAATGAAACAGTAACTGTTGACTTACTAAAATGTAAACTAATTTTTAATTTGAAGTGAAGCTAGTTTTTGTCAGAGGTAAAAGCAAGTATATGTTTTAACTGTTTACTTGAATCCCTTCACATAGAAACTATCAGATGGAGGTCTGGGTTTTAGGCATAAATTATTAAAAAAATAAAACTCTTGCTTCAAAGTTCCATATAGCTCAACTGAAGCTGGTCCACCTGTGCTGCAAAGAATGGTAAACATAATGAAAAGAGACTTAGCCCTCTGATTTCATTAAAAACACAGCGATATCGGCAAACAATAAGGATTTCTCAAGCGTCAATTCTCTGCTCCAGTGGCGGAGAGCCTGTCTGTACCCATTGCATTGCGTGAATAATTTAATGAAGCTGACAATTCACGGGATAAGCCGTTTTATTATTCAAGGTTCCATTCCTGCACTGGGAATGTATGGCAAAATGCGCTATGCTGCAGTTATGCAATCTGACATTGCATAAGTCAAGTGGCCCACAGACAGACTGCAGGAGGAGCTAACAAAAGAAAAGATGCAAAGAAGGATAGAAAACGCCAGTGTGAGGCAAAGCCGCAGCCCGGCAGCCTCTCGAGAACACCAGTTTGATTAATGACACTTCAGCACCTTCAAATCATAATGAAAACATCTGACATTCTCAGACTTTTTCACACACAAGCAGAAGTTAATTTGTTCCCCTAAAGATTCTCAACGATGAAAATCCTCTTTAAAATGTTATCATAAAAAAAACAATATCTATCTATCTAACTATCTATCTATCTATCTATCTATCTATCTATCTATCTATCTATCTATCCTATCCTATATCTATCTATCTATCTATCTATCTATCTATCTATCTATCTATCTATCTATCTATCTATCTATCTATCTATCTATCTATCTATCTATCTATCTATCTATCTATCTATCTATCTATCTATCCTATCCTATCCTATCCTATCCTATCCTATCCTATCCTATCCTATCCTATCAGAATATATAGTTTACCGCTTTTTATTTGCTTGAGTGCATAATATCAGCACAATAACTCTGTACCTGATTAAAAAACACTATGCAATGTGATTCAGTTTCATTAGATACATCTGACATATTTACAGAGTGACTCAGAGTCTGGATCATTTTCAAGATTGAACAAATACTGACAAATAATGCACTTGTTTGAACAGCTTGCAACCAGCCCACAGCTGTCCAATTATATGATATTACTAATTCATGGTGGAAAAAAAACAAGACCTGTGATCTAAGGAAATTGGCAGACTAAACGATCCCAAGGTGAACGAGTGTAGTAAAATGACAGAGACGCTCTAAATGGACAACGATTGTAGCTAATTCTCCAAAAAATGGGAAGTTAATAAAGTAGTTAGAGCTTGAGAGAAACATGTATGATTCAGTATCTTAGTTGATATTACTCTGGTCAAGTGCTGATTTCTGAGAGACGCACAGAGGAAGCTACATTTCGCTCATTCACATCACACACTCATCATTGCATTATTTTAAAAGTTTATGTTTAATTTTAGAAGTTAATGCATACGATTGTGCTTTCCGTTGGCTTACCAAACACGAGGAGTGACTGTGTCTGACAAATATTTGATCTATTGCTCAGTAGTTTTTCATTTTTGAAGCCATTTTCCGTGCCTCTCCATATAAGGCAGGGGTGCCCAAACTCGGTCCTGGAGGGCCGGTGTCCTGAAGAGTTTGGGCACCCCTGATATAAGGTATTTAGCTTCGGGTATGTCTCTACTGCGGAAGTGCTCATGCGAGTTATTTTGATAATTACAGATAGTATCAGGCCATATTAACACGCTCATTGTCTAAACCAGACCCTAATGAAAATGTGATGCAATGTTTGCCGTATCCTCCCTCATCTTTTCTTCTTGTGTGCCTTTAAGACGCTGATATGATCACTGGACTCACTGAGCTTGAGATTGATCCCTCTGTTTGCATTGAGGGAGATAGAGATGTGCGGCAGTGAATGAGAAGTTGTGTCCGTGTCTTTGCTCTGGGGTGACCGCATACCGCTTAGAGGACAAGAGACACTTTGCTTTTTATGGGACACATTATCTCCACTGCACTCACACTGATTTTACAGCTCTCCGAGATACTCCTGCTGTTTTATCTGTGTGACTGCCAGAGCACATATTGTAAATACAACAGAACAAATAAACAGATACAAATACAATAGAAGTCTGGTTCAGATAAAGCGGTCTGTGAATGTGATCAGCAGAATGGATGTCTGTTTTGTCTTGCCAACAAACTCACTGGCTATAATGACACATTTGACTTAGACAAAGTTTTAGCAAGCGCAAATAAACAGGATCGAATGAGTGATCTAGGAACAGAAGGAGCAGAAATGGACCTGCTCCAAAGGATGCTTTTGGCAGACCAAATCAAACCTTTGGAGATGCATCTAGATACAGTATGACTGCTGAATTCCATAATGATAATTGCTTCAGGGCATCTGTCAAACTTCTCTTGTTCAGAGTGGGAGGAAATTCTCTATGCAATCCACACATCATGTTATTACTTCTCAAGAACGCTAATTGTCCACGAAGATCCATTGTATTACATACAAGTTTACATATCGACTACATAATGTCTTTGGGAGAAACTCACAAAACCATCAAGGACACGTCCAGGTTATATTTCATCCCAGAATGAAAATAATGAAATGATACTCTGCAAATGAAGTCCATTAAGATTTTTTTATTGCATTTTTTATTTTTCGATAATTAAACCCATTCTCGCACCACTCTCATTATTGTATTGCAAAAATCTCATTCTCATTATAAAACAAAAGCAATATGTAGAAATGTCAAATTGTAAAGTTGTACAGCTTTTGCAAATTAAGTGTGAAAAATACAGTATACTGTA